AGCAGGACTGGCCTAAGGGTGATCTTAATTTGGTTTTAAAATAATTTTAAAAAAGAAAAGGCCAATAATTTAATATTCTATTTTAATTACATTTTAAATTTAGTATTTTGTATTTGTACCTGTTTTAGATGGCTGTAAGCCGCCCTGAGTCCGCTGGGAGAAGGGCGGGATAGAAATTTAATAAATAAATAAATAAATAGATAGATAGATAGATAGATAGATAGATAGATAGATAGATAGATAGATAGATAGATAGATAGATAGATAGATAGATAGATAGATAGATAGATAGATAGATAGATAGATAGATAGATAGATAGATAGATAGATAGTTGCATTGGGATGGTGGCTTCTAAAATTTCCAACCAGTGTGATGACTGCTGATTTGGAGATCTATCCCAAATTATCTGGAGGACGTAAGATTTGGAAAGACTAATCTAGGAACATCAGTGCGATGATGTGGTTTTCTTTGCTTTGTTTTGTTTGCTCAGATGGTGAAGAAGAGCCAGCGTGGGTTGAAGTGATCGTGGAAGTTCTACTTTCTCTCCTGGCTCAGTCTAGTGGGCTGATTCGACGGGTCTGTAAAAATGTGTTTGGACTCGTCTGCCAACACATGACAAAGGGTGCTCTGCAGCTCATCCTAGACGTGAGTCTTTTGAGAGTGCTTGATACTCTGCCTGGAATATAAAGCCTTAGATTAGGGCAGTGGTTCTCAACCTTTTTAATGCCGCGACCCCCAACCGGTCGTAAGTCGAGGACTAAACCGGTCGTAAGTCGAGGACTAAACCGGTCGTAAGTCGAGGACTAAACCGGTCGTAAGTCGAGGACTAAACCGGTCTTAAGTCGAGGACTACCCAACCGGTCGTAAGTCGAGGACTTTCCCTGCCCGGGAGCGCCGCGCATGCGGGGTTCCGCCCCCTGTGCCGGCCGAGGCGTAACTGGCAAGCGGCAGAGACGGAGCAGGCCGACCACCAGCTGGCCCAGCCCAAGGGAGGTAAGGCACCCGCCGGAAAAGGGGGAAAAAATGGCGGACAGCCTTGCTTGGCGACCCCCGTGAAATGGTCGATCGACCCCAAATGGGGTCGCGACCCATAGGTTGAGAACCGCTGGATTAGGGAAACCTAGCTTCAAAACCCCATATGGCCATGAAGCTCACTGGATGATTTGGTTTAGTTTTTTATATCTAAGTAGGAACATATTTACAGGTTTGCTTTGAATGTAAAATTAGAGAATGGGACAAGCCTTTGCTGCTCTTTGAAAGAAAAGGTGACAGTTATTTTGATAATATGCTTCAACCATCAGACATCATAATAGAAACTTTAATTCATGGTTAAATATCTTTATGCATGGATATAGATGAACTGATACAACTTCCACGTACAATGGGGAATAAGCAGCTTATTGACCATGCCAAGATCTCGTTAACATTATTTTGTTTTGGATTTTATCCTGTTTATTATTATTATTTATAAATAAGGTGGTGACTTCCTCCTATTTTCCTCCACAAAAACTCAGTGAGGTGAATTGTGCTGAGAGAGACAGTGTCGGGCCAAAGTCAACTTTCATGCCTAAAGCGGGACTAGAACTACAATCTCCCAGTTTCTAACCTGGTGCCACTTGACTAGCAAGGTTACAAATGTTCAGGAGCAACTACAGTAGAAAACTGCAGGATCCTGTCAGGCAAATGTGTGTTGTTGCAGGCCTGCTCTGAGAAGAGGCTGCGTTGTTGCTTTTCAGAGATAATGCAGTGGAATTTGATAAAAATAAAATTCTCCCTTAGGTTCTCAATCCGCAACAAGACCAGGATGAAGAAAGTGCTGTTGTCGTAATGGAAGAAGCAGAGAAGAAGAGAAAGAAAATTTCCCCCCAAAATATGGTAAGTCCTATTATTGTGAAAGATAATTGTCCACATGGTCCAAAGTCAACAATCCAATATTAAAATAGGCCGCGACTAAAAGAAGAAACAGATGGAAGTTATATCCTGCCCAAACAGAATTGCTTCCAACCCATCACATAGACAACTGGGAAAAAGAAGTGCAAACGTGTGAATATTGGTTGTAAAATAAATGGAGCTCGCATTGATGCCCAGCAATCTCTAGAATTCTTTCATTGTTGTTTTATAGTTTGGCTACAATAAGTGAACTATTGTTTATCTTGGGAAATAGGCTCTTGAGTATTTCGCTTTGTCATCCAAGAGAATCCTGACAACTATGTTCAGTATAATATTGATCTCAAATCTTTATGGATTTCCACAGTACTAAGACATGGTTTACTTTAACCATGGTTTGTGCAATGAGTCAGAGTTGACTGGGTTCATATAAAATGAACCATAATTGGCTGAGTTCATATAAAGTTCTAAGCTAGGATGAAACAGATGATGTTATAATAATTAAATGCAATATTTGAGTCCTGTTTGAGGCCATCCACTTTCTTTGAGTAGCACAACTTATGCTAACCAGCTGAACCTAAGCTCTTTAATAAAGCATGTTACAGATACCTTGACTTATGACCACAATTGGATACAGAATTTCCATTGCTAAAAGCAAGGCAGTTGTTAAGTGAGTCACATTTGATTTTACAACTTTTTTTCACCATGGTTATTAAGCGAATCACTGCAGATGTTAAGCGAATCATGTAGTTGTTAAATGAGTCTGGCTTCCCTCATTGACTTTGCTTGTCAGAAGCCAGCTGGGAAGGCTGCAAATGAGGATCACATGACCGGAGAGCCCTTCAGCCCTTGTAAATACATGCCAAAATTTGGGTCAAGCACCCAAATTATGATCACGTAATTATGGGGATTCTGCCATGGTCATAAGTGCAAGGACTGTCATAAGTCACTTTTTTTCAGTGCTGTTGTAACTTTGAATGGCCACTAAATGAATGGTTGTAAATTGAGAGCTACCTGTAGTTGAAAAAGTGCTATCAGACTCCTTATTTTTGGCTGTCGTAGACTAATGTAGCTCTTCTACATGCATTGTCTAGTCCAGGGGTCCCCAACCCCCGGTCGTGGACCTGTACCAGGCGTGGCATGCCAGCAACCGGTCCGTACAAACAAAGAAAGCCCCATCCGTGGGATGCAGGCAGCACATAAAACCACACCCCCTCCAGTCTGTGGAAAAACCTCTCTCCACATAACTGGTCCCTGGTGCCCAAAAGATTGGGGACCTCTGGTCTAGTCCAATCTAGTATATTGTTGTCAGTTCTGATTAACATAAAACCTCCAGGATTGCAGATAAAAAAGGATCAATTTCATTGTGTGATAACGAATTGACTTTTTACCTGGAGATGCTAGAGATCAGCCCAGAATAATTTTCTTGTGCATTGAGCATTGGTCATTTGCCAAACATTTGGCCCTATTTTTTATTGACATTGGTTAACCATTGCGAGATTTTGCAGATGGGAAACGTGTATTGTTAGAGACAGAAGGATGGGTTGTTTTAAAATAAGTACTTTCATATTGTAGATTAATATTTTCTTATTGTAAGAATCCAACAGATAATTTCTTTGCTGCTTTGGCAGATTGAGCTTGTCTTTGCTGATCTTTCACATTAATAGCAACCTGGTTCATATATTTTGGTAAACCATGGTTTGTTTAATCATATTAAATCAATAAAATATTAAAACATGCACAGCACGTTTATTGATAAGCCATAGTTTATAAATCTTAATGGCTGGCTTTGCAGTACATGCTAAAACTATGCCACAACTAAAGAAACTATCATGGTTTAGTGCAGGGGTGTCCAGCCTTGCCAACATTTAAGACCTGTGGGCTTCAATTCCCAGAATTCTCCAGCCAGCATGGGAGTTGAAGTCCACAGGTCTTAAAGTTGGCAAGGTTGGTTCAGAGCAGGAGTAGGCAACCTTGGCTCTTTTATGACTTCAACTCCCAGAATTCCTGAGTCAGCATGGCTCAGCTTGGAAACCTCTCCCTTTCCCCTCAGCATGGCTGTCTCAGGAATTCTGGGAGTTGAAGTCCATGAGTCATAAAAGAGCCAAGGTTGCCTACCCCTGGTTTAGGGTGATATGGAATCCTGCCCAGTCATTGTAGTTCTTAGGAGTGATTCATTTTCCCTACCCTTCACTTATTTATCTTGATTTATGTGACCTCCCAGTACCACTGTTTCCCTCTTACAGTATGGAAGATTAAACTAAAGAGGAACTAGGAATTACAGCTGAAGGGAAAAAAAAACTATTTTATTATCTGGCAGGAGCAAGGTGAAGAAAGTGGGGAGAGTTCTGATGAAGACAGCTCTGAAGAAAGCGATGAGAGCGACAAGGAGGCTTTGGAGAAAAACAGTGAGGGCGAGGAGGAACCCGACGAAAACTTCCGTGCCATGCTGAGGAATGTTTTACAAGCTGAGAACGCATTGGTAGGTATTGGAGCAGAGGCTTTAGTTTTCACTTAGGTCAGGGGTAGACAACCTTGGCTCTTTTATGACTCGTGGACTTCAACTCTCAGAATTCCGGAGCCAGCATGGCTGGCTCAGGAATTCTGGGAATTGAAGTCCACGAGTCATAAAAGAGCCAAGGTGGCCTACCCCTGACTTAGGTAAACAGTGAGGCTCCTGTGCTGAGAGAAATACAATTCTGCATGAAGAATGCTGGGCTGCGCTGTCTGAAATGGGTACACGGTATTAGAGAAGGTGATGAGCGCCTACTTTCTGCTGGCATTGCTGACTGCTTTAAAAAAAAAAAGTGCGTTGGGACCTTTAATAGCGCTACTGTAGGAATGATATTCGTTTTTTCATTCTTATAGGTAACACATTTTGATTGTGCCAGATCTCAGCCTTGGCCAGCTGGCATTAAAGATCAGCAAAATGGCGCCCATCGTTCTGTGGCTGCTGGTCATTCTTAGTCTTCAGTGGGATGCTTTTTAAAAATGTCCTTCCTGTCTATTTATTTTTTGAAGGTCTTCTTATGTACTTTGCCCAAACTTTGCAGCCTCCTGACATTGAAGAGGGCTGAAAGGTGTTCCATTGTGCAGAACTAGCTAATGGTTCATTTCATATTTATTCATTCTATTTGTACCTTGCTTTTCTTTTAAGTAGTGCACTTTGGTAAACTCATTTCTGTTTTTCTTGCATCAGCAGCCCTCTGAGTAGCTGGGGCTGAAAAGTAGGAACTACCCTAAAATCTTCATATAAACTTTGTGATTGAGTGAGAAATTGAACCTGAATCTTTCCAGACAAACCCATCCCTTTAACCACCATATAATCTTTGCCTATATACACCACATATATTCGTGGATTAGGCCATCTGCAAATAAGCCAATCCTTGAATGTTTAACCAAAATACCATAAAAACCGTGCCATCCATGGATTAGCCAACCTGCGTTTTTAGGGCATTTTGGTTAAGCATTCAAGGGTCTGTTGATCCATGGATGGGCTTATCTACTCGTATATATATGGGAAATATAAATTTAAAAGGATTACTGTATGTACTTGTGGATAGGCCCATATTCAATCACAAAAAAGCTGAGAATTTTAGGTGCCAAAATGGACCTTAAAAATTGGGATTGGCTGAATAAGCCAATCCCAATTTTTAAGGTCCATTTTGGCACCTAAAATTCTCAGCTTTTTTGTGATTGAATATGGTAATACTAAATGCTCCAAGGATACGTTTACTATTGGTTATATGAGTTGAGTTTAAGTATATGGAATAAGTTTGCTATTGGTATGTCGGTGCCTTTCTTCCCACTTGATGTTCTTTTGACATGTTGGACTATAAGTTTTATAATTCATTGCTGGGGTGGCCTTATGAATCTTTGCTTTGTTGTCCTTTTTTTTTTAACATCAAGGAAGGAGATGATAGTGATGAGGATGTGGATGATGAGACTATGATGTCTCTCGATGAGAAGCTTTCATCCCTCTTTACTGAGCAGAAAAAGCGTATCCAGGCCAAGAAAGATGAGAAGGAAAAGTTGCGCAAAGAGAAGATTTTGCGCCGGGACTTCAAAATCAAGGTAAGAATCCAGGTTTTCTGAGTTTATGGCCTATTATGGCTAAGATCAGCACTAATTTCAGCTGTTGGCCAGTCTTGTAAAATCTCCTGCGTGGCATACCATGCCTCCAAATACAAATAATGAATTGAATAAAATCACAAATACATTCATTTTAGAAACAGTTCGAAATTTGTTGGAATAGTAGGACATCCCCAATCCCCTCCCCAAAGCGATAATGTGCAATCCTTTTTTTTGGTTGGGAACAATTATTTTAAGAACTTTGTTTATAACAGTGTTTCTCAATCCTGGCAACTTAAAACATATGTGGATTTCAACTCCCATAATTCCATAGCGAGCTATGCTGGCTAGGGAATTCTGGGAGTTGAAGTCCACACAGCTTCAAATGGCCAGGGTTGAGAAACACTGGTTTATAATTTCTAAACTGTCAAAAGGCTATTGCCATCTTTTAATTAGGTCAAATTAGGGATCCCAGTGACAGCATGGACAATTGTTCATAGATCTAACCTATCTCCAGTAATCTCGCTTATTTTTCTGTAGCTATTCAGATGATATCTTTCGATTTATCCACTTACTTTATCCATGGTTTTTTCTTTTACTTTCTTAAACTTTGCCAAACAATAATTTGTTCTATTCTATCTTCCATATATGTACTCAAATTGTGTGAGTTGCTGCTTACTGATCATCAGCTGACTTTATTTGATCCATATCTGATTGATTGGTTCTTCTTGGTAGCTGTTTCCAAATTTCTGTATCACAGAGATCCTATCTTTCTATCGGTTTTAGTCTCCAGTTTTTGTGGCTGTATGTTCCCATTGTAAAGATAATTGCTTTAACATTTCAGTTTTGGTGAGGCTGTCACTGTAGTGTCCTTATCCTTTATGAACTTGTTTAATAATCTCCTTTCTCTCTAACCTTTCAATCTTTTTGTTTTTTAATTCCCCAGCCCACCATCCATCTTTATCTGTTCTTGAGCCCAGGAAAACAAAACTTTCATTTTCACTTCTTTGCTGTCAGTTGGGCTATTTTAATTATGTTTCAAGTATTACTATAAACTGGAGAGGGATATTTAATTAGCAATTCTTTTTTTGGCTAACAACCAAAATAATTTTTTTTGTCAAACTATTTGAAAAACACTGAATTGTACGCTTGGTTGGTTTGTGGTTTTTTTTTGAACTTCATAAATGTCTTTCATGGATTACATGTTAATCAGCGAAGGAGTTCAACCATGGATTCCTTCTGCATAACTCTTTCCAGATTTTTGTTTCTCCCATAGTGGTTGGGCTGCTGTTAATGTGATGCATATCACTGTTTATTTCTCATTCAGATCCTGGATTTGGTTGAATTATTTCTGATGAAGCAGGCAGGGAATCCTCTTGTTTTCAATGTCATTGATCCCCTTCTTTCTGTGATTGAGCACAGTATGAGCTCAGACTCTAACAAGCAAGAACAAGATTATCTCCGGAAGACTGCAGATATTTTCACGTGAGTTTCAGAGAAGCATTCAGGCTTGTATGTGTCTGAGAGAATGGGGGGAGGGCAGGGGGAAGGGAGAGAAAGAGAAAATTATAGACATGCCAAGTGACGTGTGCCGACTCAGGGATTTTTTTTTTTAGTCATCTTGATCTGAACTTAATGCAGTTCTCTAGACCAGTGTGTTGCTCAACCTGAGCAACTCTTAAGATGGATGGACTTCAAGTCCCATGCTGGCTAAGGAATTCTGGGAGTTGAAGTCCACGTGCCTTAAAATTGTCAAGGTTGAGAAACACTGCTCTAGACCACCGTTTCTCAACTTCAGCGACTTTAAGATGTATGGCCTTCAGCAAATTTCTCCAGAATTCCCCAACCAGCATCTTAAATCTGATGAGGTTGAGAAACACTACTCTAAAGTATTTTTCCTCAGTTTGACATTTTCTGATCTGTTGAACTGTTAATTTCCAGAAAGTTGAAAATAATGTTGAAGATAATGGAAGTTATACTTTAACAACCAGTTAAATGATTTCTTTGCCTTCAGAAATTGTGGGCACTCCATTCACTGGAGATTTTAAAGAAGAGACTAGACAGTCATTTGTCTGAAATGGTATAGGTTCTCCTGCTTGAGCAGGGGGCTGGACTAGATGACCTCCAAGGTCCCTTCCAGTTCTGTTCTGTTCTGTTCTGTTTAGAAGATTCCGAACTGGAGTAGATTTGTCTAAATTTATACAGGTTGTCCTTGATGTATGACCACAATTGACCCCAAAGTTTATGCTGTTAAATGAAACATTTGTTAAGTGAGTTTTGCCCTGTTTTATGACCTTTCTTGCCACGGTTGTTAAGTGAATCATTGCAGTAGTAACACAATTGTTTAAGTGAATCTGTTTCCCCATTGTCAGAAGGTCGCAAAAACTGTTCACATGACCCCAGGATACTGCAACCATGATAAATATGAACCAGTTGCCAAGCATCCAAATTTTGATCACGAGACCATGGCGAAGCTGCAATGACCGTGTGAAAAATGGCCATAAGCCACTTTTTTCAGTGCCGTTCTAACTTTGAATGGTCCCCAAATAAACTGTTGCAAGTCAAGGACTATCTCTATATGCAACTTTTCTAAGGTGTGGATCAAACTTAGTGAACTCCAAGTGAGGGATATGTGATGGCTGCGCTCTCCAAAAGAGTGGGTGGGACGAAGACTTAAGTTTTATTTCATTCTAAAAGGTAGTCTCTGACTTACAACCATTTGTTTAGTGACCATTCGAAGTTACAACAACACTGCAAAAAGTGGCTTACAATCAGTCCTCATACCCGTGTTTCCCCGAAAATAAAACTGGGTCTTATTTTTTTTTTTTTGCCTCCAAAAGAGGCACCAGGTCTTATTTTCAGGGGTTAGGGGCACCGACAGCCCCGCCCAGCTGGCCCACTTGTTCTGACTGCATTCCGGCCTGCATTTTGCATTCCATCCTTTCTGGAAGGCCTATGCAGCCGAGCACCAAGCTAGGTACTGTGACTGAGAAATGCAGGCCTGGCTGCAGAAGACGCCACAGAAGAAGTGGGCTAGCGAGGAGAGGCCTGGCTGCAAGGTGAGTTGGTGCGGGACGCATGGGGCAGCTCCACACCCCCACCCTAGCTTGATTTTTAGGTGTGTGCCTTACCCCAAAACTAGGGCTTATTTTGGGGGTAGGGCTTATATTAGACCCACCCCCAAAAAGCAAGCTAGGGTTTATTTTCAGGGTAGGCCTTACTTTCGGGGAAACAGGGTACTTACAATCCTTTTAGCATGTACACTGTCACATGATCAGAATTTAGATACTTGACAACCGGCATATATTTATATTTTTTGGAGAGTCCAGGGTATTGTGATTGCCATTTGTGACTTTCCCAGCTGCTTCTAGCAATGGGCGATTTGCTTAATGAGCATGTGGTTCACTTAACAACTGCAGCGATTTGTTTAAGTACCATGGCAAAAATGTCATAAAATTGGGCATAATTTACTTAAACAACTGCATTATTTAGCAACGGAAATTCTGGTCTTAATTGTGGCTGTAAGTTGAGGAGCCTCTGGACTCAGATTTAGTTATGGCTAGAAATAATTCATATTATTACTTCCCAGTTATATTTTTAATGGCTTCCTTTTTCCATCATGTTAAGACACTGGAATTTGGTAGCAGTTTTGGAGTCCTCTGAGAGCTGAATACGAGCCTTTAGTGCATCAGCTCCCAACCTTTTCTATACCCGGCACCCCTAGAATGCTTCTGATATATTCTCGCACCTCTTACAAAAGTTTGAA